AAAGCATTGGCATGATGCTGTACATCCACCACTATGCGCGAGGAAGCACCAGTGAAGCAATTTTTGTCGAAATGCGTTGAGGCATTACGTTACAAACAAGGATACTCCCCTGCTTGACACCGGTCTACCGTGGCAGAGACGGATGACTCTCATCGAAAGACCGAATAATCCCTTGATATCTTGCCGAATCGTCTTGGTTCATTGCACGTTCCTAGCAGGTAGGTGAGCCTTGCTTAAGCGCCCTGCTGTTGACGCTTCGTTTATGCGGGCTGGAACACACGGGACTAGGCTGTCAAAGCCTATTCATGAGGTGGTGATGCATTTCCACTCTGGTGATCGTCATGTCACCTGCGTAAACGAACAAATTGACATTTATCACAACGCCGATCAGAAAGACGTAGATGGTCGGTAAAGCGGTCTTTGGTCACTATTGTTTACTATTAGCACTAGCAGCCCACCCACCTTGACGGATCAGAGCTACATGCTTGAGACAGCATCAGAGTTCGGTCAACATCTGCAACATCGCAACACTAACAGCAGCTAGTGTGGCTGGCAAACCCTTGATCCTTGCAGAGATCTGTGGCTAGTGCAAACTAGTGGCAATAATATGTGGCTGGAGAGAACAGCCCCGCCACGGTGGCAAAACATGCCGTGGCTGTGATGTCGATCGCTGTGGCGTCGGGGTCGCCGTCTGGCCAGATTTGTTCGCTTGCTGTAGGTAGTATCGTGGGCGAAGATCTCTATGCTATGTGAGTTAGAATGAGCTCGGTCGGCAAAGAACAAGCAGGTACCAATTGAGTCGGTCAGGATGATACCCTTCCTGGGGATGGTAAGGAGAGGGGATACTTCAGAGTATAAATCGAGTCGGCCAATAGAGAGTTTCAGATACAGGGCCGAACGGTAAGTTACACCCTATGAAAAAGGTAAGAGTAGAAGAAAAACATGCATAACCCAAGTAAGCTCCGATCATCCCCTACATATGGTGTCCACCTCCAATAGTTGCCTGGAGATTGTCGGCTCCGACCCCGTATTTGCTTGCTCAAGTGAGATGTCACACTTCCATTAGTTTCTCTCCGCTCAGGTTGCGGCCGCGCGACGGGTCAATTTTCGGTGGCAAAGGCGCATGCGAAGTCAAACATGAGCACAATGCATTATGCAGCTTTAGATTATCAAGCAGCCAATTGGATGGCCTGGAACTGTCATGGTGGATAGGATGAACGTGCTCGTGCATACATTCTCTTCGTGAATTCCGGGAATTGGTGTGGTGACGCTGCCCCATTGATAGGCCGGCGGTAAATTCGAAAACCCAGAAGGAGCAAATAGTTGAGACTTAGGTAGTCTCACCTTGCATGGTTTCCAACCAGAATGCTGTGTATACCAGGGAGAAGTCCTTGATATATTGGTATGCAAACGGCCGAAAATTCCTTTTTACAGTAAACATCGGAATTGTTTTCCTTGGTACCGGCCTCTCCTGGTGGACATGGAAAGTGGCCTCTACCCCAACGATACCGGTGTCATATAACGCGGTTAACGGTCATCTCGCATTGACTCCGTGTTGTGTTGTGCGGTAAGGCGTGTTAAGCGCACGAAAAGCATTGGACAACATTGATGTTGTAAGCACTTAACCTATTTGGAGCCATGCGCACCGGGACCTAGAAAGGGAAAAAGCAAATGCCATCTCAGATCCACCAACGGTAACATAATGATCAAGCCACCGAACAAGTAAGCCACAGTGAGTTATGGTTCGCAGAGCAGAGATACGACCCAGCAGCATCGCACCACATTGTTTTACCAGGTATCTGTCAAAGCCGCCCGAAAGACGAATGCATATCACCTGCACCTTGAGCATGGCGTCTCGTAAGCCGCAAGGTGTGAATAGCTGGTTGGTGCTTGTTTTGGGATGCTTTTCTCACCGCTCATCCGGGTTTTCTTTCGTCTGCTGTTCCGGTTTCATGCTGTGAACATGCGTGCATATGTTGCTATCGGAGCCACAAGTTGGTCTACTGAAGGGTATCAATTCACCAGCTGCGTGGCATATCCCGGACCTCAGTCAGGATTGATAGCTGATACATCAGTCGAGTAATTTCTTTTTTTTTTCGCCGCGTATGAATTCTTCTGCCTGTATCAGCTCAGCTAGGATGCGAGCTGGCCGAATAGGGGAAAACATCAATAGAGGGAGAGGCGGGACGTCATCAGCGCATCGACCTTACCAATGGTTCAGTAACACAATAGCTCGACCAGTAAGGTGCAGAAACGGCCTCGCTATTGCAGTGAGTGGATCTGGGGCTGGTGTCATGAAGGCCGCGGCGTCACGGAGTGGCAAATTCTGTGGCATTAGCTTAGTTGAGCTGGAAGGCAGCCAAGCGGACCCTACAGTGGGATTGAACTGATTAGCAAAGGCTCGCTGGTTCACTGGTGGCCCGAATCCACCTAAGATCAAGTAGTTCGTGCTTTCTGGTAAGACGCCGAAGCAATTCGGAAGTGATAGTTAAATCAGGGAACCCCGTCCTTGAAGCTAGCACCGAGAGGGAGAAGTGAGAAGGAGGAAGTTCAGTGATCGGGGACCACATCCTTACCGAGTGCCCGACCGTATAGTACATTAATTACCATACCTACTTACCCTTGCCAGCAAGCCCTGTGGGAGTTATTGACCTGCATGACTGCGGGTCAGCTGGCTGTCTCGGTCTTACTATCCAGCAAGTAACGTCTTCTTATTGGTAGTTGGGTCGGACTTAATTCTGCTTCTTCGGCATTTTCTGGTTTACTCCAGAGAGCGTCATTCGAGCTTCCCGATACTTTGCATGAAAGATGTCAAGACTGAAGCAATGACAAGGTCATTGTCGTAGAGGCTACGAAGGCGTCGAAGACTCATCCTGCGTTGGCTGGTGGTTCACGCAGCTGGTGAATTAAAGTCGTGGCCGATGACCAGCTCATCATCCTACCTATGTTGGCAGTTTCAGTCCATGAAACTAATCTATGGTATTAACAAATTCAACTTTAGTATTGCTTGTGCCTTCCAGTAGCCAACAGATAAAGGCAATGGTATGAGAGATCGGGATGCTGATTACGAGACCTACCTCATAGTCAATGGAGGTAACACAGGTTGGCAAGCATAAAGAAGAAAAAGAAAAGAATAGAACAGCAGGATGGCATTGCGCTGTCGATGCTGCACCCCGCTAAACTCCAACATGCATTAGCACAGTAATTCCTCTTTTTCGCATCTGTCGGGCCAGTTGATGGCACCAACTCGAAAATGGGTCTGCCAGGCGGCTTGGACTTGAAGGCTTCTAGACAGGAAAGGCAAGGAAAATCAATCACCATCCCATAGCTGATAGTCCAGGGAAGGGGTTCCTGACCGCCGCATGTACTACTAGCACACGAGACTATGAGAACGCCACTTACACCGCATCCTTCGCGAAGATGAGCGATGCCAACTGGGATACTGAAGCTGAAGCTGAAGGGGTTCGTTGGCTTGATAATACGGCAAGTGCCAAGGACACATGGCTGACAGGAAGGATGATTGGTGATGGGGCAGTCCCCGGACCTCATCGCCATTTAGACTGGCCATCTTGAACCCGATGGACTGGGCACCGTGTCATCATTTGGCATGGATGCTGCTGGTTGTTACCGACCACGGTAACGAATAGGGCCCGGGAAGGTCTGGTACCGTCAGCATACAGCGGGAGAGATACTGGGTCGGATTAGGATCGGATGGACGATCTCACGTCTCGCACAGTTTCCCTTTTTCTTTTTCTTTTCCGTTTCCTTATATTTTTCTTCTTTGCGGTACCCTGGTAGAATTCATCTTCATGATACTTGATCGTCCAGGCCCGGGCACTTCCCCCCCCCTCCCCCCGACTACGCGGAGATTCAACCCTACCGCATGTGAAGGATGTCGCCGGCATCCCACAGCTTACCCAACTGAGCCGGGTGCAGTTTCAGAAGGCAATGCAGCTCAAGATCTGACCGCTGTCGAAGGCACCGATTAAGGGATGCTATTAATCTCACTACCACCACTGCTAAGAAGTCGAGAAACGTAAGTACTTGAGACTTTGTGCAGCTGCACGGATATCTTTCGATCTGAGCGACGGACCTATCAGCATTTTTCCGGGTCCACCAGCCCAAAAGGACACGCGATGACCAGCGCTTTTTGCCATCCGCTAAGGGCGGAGCTGCTAAGGTACGGGGCACCACCACACACCCTTTCCCTACACTAGTCTGCCCTCCCTTTCCTGGGTTCTGATGGCCGTACCTGGTTTTGCCTTTTTTATTTTTGGGCAGGGAGAAAAAAAAAATACGAATCATGAAATTTATCAGTCTTGCCATTTTTGATGTATGTAACAAAGGTAATATAATTTATTCTCTTATTGATTTATCCCTCATCTTAATTTTTATCTATATTATATATTTTGTTTTACCATGGCAGTTTGCTTCCCTCTTTTTCTTCTTTTTATATTCTTAAACTTTCTTCATAATCGTGATCGGGTATGCGGTTTGATAGATTACCACGGGTAAGATTCCGCTCAGAATTAAACCAGTGTTGCCCTGTTCCCAACGGACCACTGCCTAGTTTGGGGGTGGAGGGTTTAGCACTGGGATTTATTGCTTGCTGCTCACTAAAAAATCATTATTGGCTGTGGCCTAAAAAAATCCCATCAACCCGAATTAAAATTGATCGAAAAAAGAAAGACAAAAAAATATTATGAAAGAAAATACTTAATGCCAAAAAAGAAAGATAAAAATAAAAAAGAAAGTATCAGAACCTTCTTATTTATATGATACAGATTCTCGAGAAAACCACAACCCTCTTTTTTCTCATCAACCAGTCCAGCCCAACCCAAACCGAGAAGTTGACCGGTACTGCCTACGTGACCCTATCGGGTACACCCGTTCTGGTTCTAGTCGCTCGTCAGGTCCCAAACAATATACAAGACTACTTACGTCCACTTGCCAGCGCTGCTCCGCAATCTGACTCTTTTTTCTCCTTCGGCCGTTCCATTCTCAATTCACTGCCTCTTCCTTTCTTTGGGTCCGAGGATTTATGTATGTCGCATACCCCCCGTTTCATCTCTTCAATGGACTCTCTTTCTATAAAGCCTTGTCCCCTCCAACTACCTCATCCACTCGCTCTCTCCTTCCCCTCCTTGGCCTCGACCCATGCTCTGTCATGAGCTGCGCCTGTTTCCCCTCATAAATGGATCACGCTTAGCAGATGTCCATGAATGAATCTCACTCGGGTAGAGGACTAGGTTTCGCGATCAGGACTCTGTTTCGCTCCTCCCCATCGCCCTCCCCGACTCCTACCCCGCGACACCGAGTCTCTCTCCTCCGTCGTGGTCGGAGTATATTTTCCAGCAGGTACGGTCTCATTGACTTTTCAGTCACTTGGGTTCCATAATTCTCGCGATTTATACCCCATATTTTTACTACGGGGTTGTCCATTTCACCGTTACCTTCGTCTCCGGTTTCAATCGCTCCGTTGGACAATGGTGAATGAGGGCTACGAGCAAAGACAAACGGTTGTGGAAGCAAGTGACTAAGTCTCTTTTTTTTATTTTGCGCAGGAATTCTCGAAACTCGAGTAAACCTTCGTCCGGATCCCCAATGCATGACTTCCAGCAATTCAACTCGGCTGCGATGGTGGGACTGGCCCAAGCGTCTGCAGGCGACAACTTTGACATCTTCCAATGGCACCCTCGATACCAAAGCTGCCAGCGATACTTTCTAGATCATGCGCAACACAGTGATGCAGTCCAAGCGCTCTCTGCTTTCTTGAACATCCGTCTCCCGTTCCAATGGCAATCGAATCCTGTCGTAAACTCTCATGCCGACCCATCCCGATCCGCCGCTAGCCAGTCATCTACATCCTCACCTGCCTCGAATCTACCTCCCTCTGTCTCATTGATTCCATACATCCGCCGCCTGGTGGCCACGGGAATGGATTTCCCTGGCGTGTTGCATGGGTTTTTCGGGGACGAATGGGGTGCGGGCATTGGACCTCTACACGAGCAGGAACGGCGCAATTACCTGTTCGCCGCGAAGAGTGGTGGCTGGGCGGCCGTTAAAAAGGACTATGACATGCCACCGCTCGAAACAATTCCGTTCCTACGTCCCTTACAGGGGCCGCTAGATTCGGAGATTGAGGCGGCGGAGCGGAGTTGGAGCGAATGGCTCGCCATGGAAGACTGGATGGTAGGGCCTCGAGCGCCTGACGTTCTTCGAGACTCATCCTCACAAATTTCACGACATCACAGCTCACGAGGGTAATTCTTTATTATAGGGTGCTGGGGCTTCTTTCTGGCTTTTTTCCTTTCTTCTTTTCTGCATACTTTTGCTATCTGCTTTTCTGTCCCATTTACACTGCTTTAACCCAACACTAGCCACGCTGGCGGTAGCACGGAGTTGGTGAGTCTCATAGCATGAGATAACGATCATACGATATCTTGAATCATGAGCGCGATAGACATCGCGGGTCCCACATAATGGTGTTCTGGCTTCAATTATTGAGGGAGCCGTGCGAACACCTCGCAAGGGGTCAAAGATACCACAGAACAACAATTGAGATAAATCATCCGAAAATAACCAGTGAAACAAATCAATCAATCAATCAATCAAACATTCATCCCTTCCTAGCCCCTATTCAGCCCATGAACGCGTTATCCAACAAGGAAAACCCGCTTCAGGTAGAGTAAGTAGGGTACCTGACAGTCCCACCGCCACCCCTACCCCCTGCGCGCGTCGGGTAGCAGCTCCGATAGTCATGACGATAGATAGTACGCAGTTCACCTTAGTCAAGTCTACTAAGCTAAGTAAGTAAACTAGCGCGCCAGTCCGGTCAGGCCTCCACGAAGCCGAGCCCTTTTTTCGAACCTCTGATGCCTGAAACGGCGCCGCCCCTGACACCAACGCCATCCGACGGACCGCGACATTAGCCCGGAGATCATCATCATCATCCTCTCCTGTAGAACATAAGATAGTCACCTACATCCGAACTATCCTTATACTCACATACGAAGCAAGTAACTACTCCGTGTATACAATTTTTTTATAGTTATATCCACGATTGCCGATGAACCCGACCGAGAACCCGCCCCACCGGTTCCTCACTACCTATCACAGTAACTATCTAGTCTATCTATCCAGCGGAACTCCCGATATGGAACGGCTACATCTCTACCTGCAAAATACTTAACTAGATCAATTATCCATTTCCCTTTAATGATGGATGGCTTACCAAGCAAATTCAATCAACGGTCGTACCAAGATTAGTATGTACCACGATGCGTGGGAGACAATGAAGATTTCGCCCAGTAAGGAAGGTAGGGCATCCCTCCATCTTCGATCCGATATACCCGCTTCAACCACCATCCATCCAACCTTCATCTCCACAATTAAACTATTGACCGTGGGAAAAACTCACCGGAGTGTGAACTTACCGTCATATTGCCATTGAGAATGGGGTTGATGTGATGTGATGGCTGGCTGAGCCAAGTCCTTCGCTTTCTTCTTTTTACTAATCACATACTAACTAGTTACCGAGGTGTGTAGTATGTTAATTGCTTGGTTGCCTACAAACAAAGACTCTTAATACACAACACATATATTAATTAACTCATATGTATGCTACTTAAGCTATATATGTACGTATGTATGTAAGAGGCTTCAAATCCCGAAACGCAACTAGTATGAAACAGGACTGAGCGTGAACTACTTAATTAGTTGCAGGGAGTAAATAGGTAGATTGGTAGGTAGGTAGGGAAAGGGGGAAGCCGCTATGAATGAATAAACTTCTTCTGGAGTTTTCGATGGGGATGCCGGGAGTGGTAGTTTGTGGCGCGGCTGAAGGGCGGGGACTTGGACTGGACTGGACTCGGTCATCGGTGGGAGGGGGGAAGATGTGGGAACTTACTATAACTAACTACGGGGGGGATGGGAAGTGGAGTGGGAGTTGGGTTAGGGTAGGTTGGGTTAGGTTAGACTAGACTAGTAGGTTGTCGGATACTATGGGAGGTATGCTGTGGTTGGGTTGTGTGGATGAGGATTTTGGAGGAGAGTATATTGTGCTATGGTGATGGATTATATGAGATAGTATATATACACAATAAAATTTAACATATGGTATAATCATAACTACAATCTGTGGACACTGAGACTATGAATCTCATGTATACTTCGTGTATAGCGACAACGATGTACCTCTGAGTCGAGGAGACAGAATCCACATGGTATTAACGCCGGAGATGTCTCGGATTACGGATGTATTATTACCCCGGCTGCTGTATCTGACAAATGTACATAACTTACGTTACTGTCTTCCGGTATTGATGTATCGGATCTGTCTACCTTACTAATCTGATTCAGTAGATAATGATTGATACTGTGTATTTGATAGATCTAGTTAACTGGTTATTGGTATGGTGTATTTTACTCCGAACCCTTAACGTGTGTATATAATTCCATTCCGTAGTACTTGATGGCTGTAGTCTTGCTAAACCAGGATGACTGCTGAACCTTTCTGCATCAGTATAGTCTGTCCTTTTCATCACTCGGTGCTCCGGAGACCTTCCAGAGTTCTCTTAAGAGAGATAGATATCTCTTCGTTACCCCTCACCAGAGCTGTTTCGTCTACATGTCTGTTGTCATTGGCAGTCTGAAGAACATAGAAACAATCAGCAGAGACAGAGCACTGATATATGTAGTATTTGCGGGGGGCGCCGCTTTCTTCTTCCTTGTCCATGTTCTCGATGATCTCCCGGACTTTCTTCCAGTAGGAAGACCCCTCGATTACAGCATTGATGTTGCAGGCCAACCAGCTCTCCTTATTATCTGGTGTGACCCCCTCCGTATCCAGATAAACCTGTGTGCTAGGAATATCAGTTAACCACCAGCTATTCTTCCGCAGGAGATGGACGAGCCCAGGAAAGATTATATCAATATAGAGGACCTGTGTCATGCTCTTGAGTCTGGTCATCTGACAAAAATAAAGCATTAACTTTCTTTATTTTCAGTTCAGGAAAGTCAAGGCAGTGCTGGCTGAACCAAACAGATTTCTGCAACCGCTTGAGGAAGTTGATGTGCAATAAAAAGACACCGAGGCATAATAAGACCTCATTAAACTCAGGAATCTCAGGCCCAGCACACTGGTATACACTGTTAATCTACATCAGGGCTTTAGCGTTATAGTCGCGAATGCACAGATCATTGCACCACTCCGCTGTCTTAATCAGCCGCATAAACGCCGCCATGTTTCTTGGCGAATTCAGGCAGGATATCACTGACAGGAACCAGTAGTCGGGGTCCCAGCACTCCGCTAACACCTGTAGCTGTCTGACAATAGACGACGAGTTATTAAAGCTCGCATAACACTCATTCCGAAACATCCGGGCCACCAGGATTGAATGGCACTGAATAAGAGGAACCTGAAGAAAAGTTTTCTTATTCTTTCTCTGTGTGTGCTGATATGATAGCATGACATAAAGAACAAATCATCACACATAGCTCCCGGTGGTGGTAAGAACCACGAGGCGGCTGCAGTCATCATGCGCAAAATATTCCATTAGCTGACACCACTCCTCCTCTGCTGGACTCATGTCTGTCCGGTCAAGCTCGCGGGTGGCCGGTCTTCCACTGTTCAGTATTCTGGGGCTAGAACTGCTGGGACTGATTCCCATATTTTACCCATTCCTCCCAGGTCGGGATATTCAATTGGCGAGTCTTTATATATCTCTGGAGCACAACTATTTTGCGGATATAAAGATCATTGGGATTAACAGTCAACTCCCACTCCCTGATCCAGTTTCTAAGAAAGAAGGCTTTCATAAAGGTATAGTTAGTGTCCCGGCGGGGTTTGGAGAGTATATAGTTTGGTGTGCTTGGTCGGCAGAGACATCAGATAAGAAGGTCTGTGTCATATCCGCAGGGGGTAGTTATCATCAGGCCTGATATAGAGGTTGGCGCAAGCTCACTACATAGGAATTTCTATCCATCTCAAGGTCAGCACAGTCTGAATGGTCATGAGTATCTATTGGATTAGACAATTAGCTGGAGAGTCTGATGCGTCTGAATCGTCCGAATCGTCAGTGCCACGCGGGCCGTCTTGCTGCTCGCGATAATGGACAGAAAGGTTTTCGAAGCACTACTGCAAGGTATTTGCAAGCCAATCTCCAACCGGATAATGGTCCTTCGACACCTCGCCCGGTGAACGACGTCGGCCAAAGAGCCAAGGATAATAGACGGGTGTATCTGCAACCGTGCGGTTTATTAGCTCTTTAATGGACGGTGCAGATCGAGAGGGCTGGACTGTCCAGATCATCTCCATTCTTGTCGGCAGTACGGAAGCAAATCGGTAATGCCAGTTTCTGTCAAGTGGAACAGCCATGATAGCTCGCGTGTGAAGATTTATAATCTCCTTTACAATGAAAGTAGATTATTTAAAAATCAAGTTCGCCATATTATGTACTTCAGGCTTCGAAGCTTGCGAGCATGATAGGAACAGGGCTCGACAATGCTATGTAAGCGAGGCATGGAAAAAATGTCATAGCCTTCGAACGAGTCCTCGCCAACAAAGATATAATGCGTCAACTAGTCTTTGGAACAGACCATGCGCAATGTGTTTGATGGAGACTGATGAACAAAGTAGCATACCGCGTTCCATTCCGCTGAACCACCGCCATCAAGGTAGCGTTCACATGTACATGGAAACAAACACCGCTCCTGATCTCTGGCTGGGCTCTATACGAAAATGCCGAGAAAGTGGACTGTTCATAGTGACTGTGTCGTTGACCCAGTGAACTCGCTCATAGACGAACGGGCTAAACTCATTGTCGCCGGGTTCGTACACCTTATCAAAGGCAGCTAGCTGCAGCATCCCATCGTTCTTTTTCGACGTGGCGTCTGCTATATTTGGCGACTCCCCGCTCTTCCCCCTTGATTATGAGCTCCTGGATCCGGGCCAGCCCGGATCCACGCATGATGGCCATGTATCTGACCTGCAACATTTTCCATGGGGCGACTCTTCCCGGTTGCTGCGATGTTTTCGAGCAGGTTTTATCTGTACAATGGCCTCTTTCACAGGACTGTCAGTTGCTTTTCGTCCTTGTAAGCAGTGGGGTATTTATGGAGGAAACCGTTCCTCGCAGCTCCAGCCCTATTACAAGCCAGTAATGTGAAGCTTCAACTTCAAGCCTCATGTTGGTTTACTTACATGTTAGCAGCCACCGTTTTCGGTGTCGACAAATCTTCACACACTAATGTAGTGTGGAAATTTTCAACAAGTGTAATTTCTCACTACTTTTTCCAATATGCATCGTACGCCTCAAGCTCCTGTTGAGTGAATGGCACTTCATAGTCCTTTCTCACCATAGGCGGGATGTCGCGTCCAGTTGTACGCTCACAGCCAATCGGTACTGCTCAGGGCATGCTACTTCTGAACCTGAGGTGCTTGAGTAGCTGTTCCAACCAAGCTGCGCAGTTATTGTCATTGATAGTTCGCGGGAGGATGTAATGAAACATCCCACTTTCCTTGCGGTACCATTACCCCGGTAGAGGAGAGAGATAGTCTAATATTAGAAGCAGCGGACAACAATACGTTCCCTAACACCAACGCCTATTGAAGATGCTGGACTGTGGGTAACTGGAACGCGGAACGCCAATGTCTTAAGCTCCCCTACAACATATCTTTAGCACAGTGCCCTGATAGCGGCAAGAAGGCTTTTTATGCCAGTTACTTCTGGACTGTTTCCACGATGTGTTTTGAGGTGTCTGGATACCCATTTGTCACTGCTCAAGCACTCGCCTTTCTGGCAGTATCATTCCCACAGGGGTAAATATAGAGGCAGGCCATGCGATTAGCCATATTTGAGGTGAATTCTGCAGTCTTTCCATAGAATCGACCCTCTGCTATCTGCTAGGTTTGCCCGAAGACGACTGCGAAGTATGAGTCGCCTGATTGAAAGATCCCATTTACTGTCTCATCTAGTGTCCCCGATACAATTTGGACGAGGACAGTTGTAGTCAAAACCCGATTGGTATTGACATAATAGATAGGGTGATAAAGTCACCCTGTCCTCTGCTGCCAACTTGGCCTGCTCTTCCTTTGCGAAACAGATGATAGTGTGAAGTTGTAATAACCAACCGCGGCAACGCACGGGTTCGTATCTTCTTCAACCATATCTGATACCAAGCCTTGGAAAATCAAAAGAAACTGGTGCCAGGTCATCCCATGCTAGGAAGGGCAAGAAACGAGTATAAAGCAAAGAAAATTTGGTAGCACATGTGGCTAGTTCCTCGCATTTTCTCAGTTTCTCAACCACAGTAGGTTTATCTCTAATAACACGAATATACCTCTCGTACCAATTCTTGCACACCAGCACGATCTGCGTTAGGTCATGCTGTGGCAAGCAGGTCAGAAAACATCAGGACAATCTCTGCTGGAAGACGAATGAAACAGATTCAATATGCGATGCGCCGCGCCTTGCTAAACCTTCCAGGTTGTATACACTGGCTTATTTTTTCATCATCGCTCAGATAGTCTAGCTAAACCCGATCTGTCGAGCTTGTAAAATTCAAATGCGACCTTCTAAGGTCTGTCGTAGTCGCTGCCCTGAAACATTCGCTCTGGACATCACCAGTCACGATCACATCTCACACTTGGGCATTATCTTGCTAGAAATGCATCCATTTATATGTAAAGAATAAGCGCAGCCGGCAGTGGTCCGAGGAGCCACAGAAGATATGCAGTGTAGCGTGTTGCTCCAGGATTTTGTCAACTCATGTCTAGTCCCGGAGAGACAGAGATCCAGTAGTTTCCCAGATAGTTTTCATGTATACACTTGTGGCGAAGCAAGTAAAGTGTCTGTCGCCAACGGGGAGTGCTGCAATTCCGTACATAGTCTGTGCGATTCGTGGCACATGCAACGAGTGCCTCGCAGATCTGTATTCTTCGAACGAAACTTTCTCGAATTTCCATTGCCGACGATATTGTGGTCGAAAGGTAAGCCCTCGCCCAGGAAGACGATGAGAAGACCACTGCAAAGGAGATCTTGTAGGGATCATCATAGCCAGAAGAAACCCTCAGGTACGGGAAAAAGGTATTGGGAGATGGATGAAGCTTTCGTTGTGGGCGGGTTGTATCCTCTGACTTCATTTTGTGTTCGTCCGCAACGCACATATTCTCTTCAGTATCTGTCGCTTCTTTTGACAGACCTGATATCTCTGGTATAATCGCTTTGTCAATGTAAGGTTGATTTCGAAGACCGCATGGCTTCGACCACGATGACTTTGTTATAGATATGGACCTGGCGAATGTTGGTTATAAGGACATTCGCCTGCGGTTTCATGGGCTGTTAGTGGGTGAAGGACTCTCGCTCTACACCATATATGGGGTAGGTAGATGTAGTAACTAGAGGGTGCTATTTCGAAGAGTGAAGCATGATATATATTTAAGAACATCGGTGAGCTTCATGGATAGGTCCTTCATCTAGTAATGCAGTTGTTGTTGGACGCCAGACTAAGGTTGCATATGCACAGTCATGCCGATGAGACAGATTATTTCTGTGTCCTTCCTGGAACGAAAAAAGCAGAATAGTTGAACCGAGAGCTCCTTGTGTAGAATCTCAATTTCTCTCGGCCAATATATGTCCATAGCCATATCCATGCCGCATTTATTTCCTGTTATCATATCGACGAGCATGCATCGACCATAAGCAGGCACACGATAGATTCGTTTCCTGTTTGCGCTTGGTCAAGGGTTTCTTCTGGCATTTATCAAACGATATAATGAACAGAATGAAGTTTCAGCTTCGTGTGAAAGGTTGCTATGCAGCGGCTGTAGAGCACATCGCAAGAGCATCGTCCGCGTCTTTACGTGGCCCTGCCTGAAGGGCCCCGGACAGATGGTATAGATGCTAAACTAATGCAAGCACCATACACGCTGCCAGTCTTTTCCAGCTGACATGGACCCAAGATGTAAAGGAAGAGATGTAAACGAGAGATGCTGGCAACGGCACGACGAACTTCAAGCAGCCACTTCTGTGCATCGAATGTCTTAGTCCAGACCATTCGCATGGTAGGTATTTGTGGTGCCCCATGTGTCCATTGCGATTTCTCTGCTGGTGAGTCCATCCTGGCACTGAATGTTCAATGGGGACAACAGCAACAAGATTGGGTCTTGAGACATCCTTCGATGTTTGTTGAGTGGTATTCCGATCAGTTCCTGAGCGATATGCTGATGCAGGACATGCACACAACGTAGATATATCATCGGCACGAGACTTTCTCGACAGGAACACCAGCTCAAGGGTATAAGATGAACAACCGACAGATGGCGCAAGGGTAGTAGCCGCTTGGGGCTACATTGTAGAGAGGGAGTTAGAAATAAGCTAACACTCATACCCAGCTATCAGTAGACCACCTTCTTCAGTCGCTTCAACGAGATAGGATGAAAGATATATTCGCAGCCCATGGATCGTTTTGGTCACCGCTTGAATATGACTTTGCGGAGCGGCCTCAGCATAGGCCTCTGGGTTGAACATGGTAAACATACCCACATCTTGTTCGGGCCTTTCCCAAAACAAAATCGAGAGCTTCAGATTGCTTCTTATGATGTCTTGTCTGTCCGACGATGAAGTTGGCTGTGGCTGCTAGATTCAAATTGTAGGGCGAGGCACCAATTTCTTGGAATTTTCACGCCCCGATAACCTGATACTGGGGCATGAGAAGGGCACCGAACTTAGAACCGGTTCCGCAATCCAGCGGCATTCTCGGCCCAAGAGGGGCTGCTGCCCTCTCCAAAGAGGGAGTCCTGACAACACGGCTGGGTGCTCCGCAGACATTCTGGCGAACCAGCTCGCCGCAGGCAGATCCACAAATTGGGACGAAGCAAAGACTGCGATTTTCACCCGCTGCGCGATAGAACGATCTCACTGAGCCCTAGGAGTGCCCGCGGGAGACGGGGGTGGTCCGCGGACCCAAGCACCCCTGGTGACCGGGGCGGCCAACACATTCGAAATAATCAGCGTTTCGCCCTTGCATAGAGGTAACAGAAGTGACGCCCACCTCAGACAACAGAGGCTGCTTGTTATTAGCCTCGCGTGTGCACCCTCGGGAGGGGATAGCTTACCACGACATCAGGAGTAATGGCCGCAGCAGAAGACAGAGCCGAAGTGCACTATTCAGATTGTCGTTGCTTTGCCAACTCTAGTAGCAACAGGGCCCGCAGGCAGTGCCTCAGTCGTCCGCCAAGCAGTTGGCTTTCCCACATTGGGTATACCTAGATGAAGAAAGTTACCGAATAGTCGGAAAGTAGTAATTGGCTAGCCACAGCTGCTTGGTCGTTCCTCGAAGAGATGGTGCGGAACAACTATGTTAGCTGAGACTTCAGATTGTCAATCTGATGTTTTTGAAACACATGTCCGTGCTTCGTACAGCTTGGTACCATATATATAGAGAATCGCTGATATCTGGAGAACCCAACCAGTGGGAACTTTACATGGTGATGTGCCTGACGATATTCTTGCTATCAACGGCCACATCGCCAGTACTTTCAACTCTTGACCATATATCAGGGTACGAGAACAGCACAGAGTGAACAGACTCAGAATTTCTGCTGCTTCTCTTCGTAGGTTTGCACTCTGTTGGCAGGCGTGTTGCTGGAACCCCGGTAGCAACGGGTGGTCGATGTTCGACAGTGAGAGCTCTATGCATAGACATATCATGATTGAGGAAAAGCGTAAATCGCCTTTCGACTTCGTTCTCCTTAGATACTAGTTCTGCAAATGCGATTATGCATGGTTCAAGCCACTTCATGCTCAGTCGGCCGGAAAGCCTGAAACCAAGATCGGTGGACGTGATGCTCTGAGAAGCTCCCAATTCAAAGTGGCCACAGGATCCGGGATGGCCTTCGTCAGATCCTTAATAAACACCGAGGTGTTGAAACTGTCGTGAACAACATATTCAGATATCTTGACTACCTGGCTTTGTCCCACACAAAGGACACGTCCGATCGCCTGGTCGGCGAGAGCTTGTGAGGTAGGGGTATTAAACATGTGTGTGTTGTGACACAAGTTCTGGAGGTTTGATCCTGCAGCGTTCACATAATAACTGACGGGAGACATGTCGCATTCTCTGACAATTTCTCGTTGTTTTCGTCAGCCATCGCATATGGATCTGAGGTCTTTTGAGTCTTGCTAAGCATGATCCAGGTCGATAATACCCTTAATATACGCTGCATTCTCCAGAAGGGATCAACCTCGTCCACATCGCGCGGGATAGTAGCTAACTAGACATGGAGGGCATGCAGACACAGACAGCCCTAATGCGCAAAAGGCCAACCAGAATCAGTCATTGTATGAAAGATTAATGTCACACGTCTATTTAGTATTTGTCATAGCAGTTTCAAAACCAATGATGCGTTTTGATTGTAGAGAAATTCTTCTCTTCTGTTGCTGCTAATCAAGATAAACGTTTCAAGATGCTTTAGGTAAAGCATCATACAACATTAACATGTCTGTTGATTGATGTCAACGAAAAATGGATTCAGCGTGGACCAAATGCTGGGAAAATAATGATTCATGTTTACCCAGATCTGCAATAGTCTGGCCATCTGCGGTGGCAAACTTCCAAAAGTTATTCCCCATTTCTGGCTTAAAATAAACCGGCTCGAAGGCTTGCGTTACTATTGCGCCTGTAGTGGTCGACACCTTGGGGAGCAAGTTGGTCGTTCATCCTACTTGGGTGGGATCGTCTTTCATCTCTGCCTCCTTAGGCATCTCAGGTGGTACTGGTTTGGTTTTTGAACTCCTCATATTCAGTGTTGTAGAAGTATTGTTTTATCAGCATGGGCAGCAGGGCTAGCAATCTTGAATGGCAGACGATATGTTCTGGCTCTTGTTTCAGGGTATATATTTTGTACAGCCCTAAGCAGTCGTCTGTCGATGGCACACAATCATGTCAGCAATATTTGGTGCGTGTCTTTCTGTTGTCTAGGGCACACATGAGCCCTCTCTTCAGCTTGTGAGTGCCACATTAAGATGGTCACGGACCTTAAGGAGAACCGGTTCGGAGAATTATCGACGAGGACAAGACACCCGGGGTCTTCGCTTTCGGAATACGGTAATGTCTGCAGCAGACTCCAAAGATAGGGGTTAAATAAGTGGTGCGATAGGTATCCACTGTGCAGGTATGGGTGTAATAGTCATGAGTTCTCCATGGCTCTCATTTGCTCGCTTTATTCAGCAGTGGTTTCCAGTAGGTTGCTCTGTTGATGAGTCAATCCTTCCCACTGTACAGCCCTCTCCACAGGCATTTCTATGAGATCCGTCTTTCTCGATTCTGCGGTTCGCTGATGCTGCAGGGGGCCCCCCGGGGGGAATAATTGTTCATTTTTGCTTGTAGGAGTCTATTGTCTTTCCCAGTGCTAATCGTGCTAAATGCTTCTCGAGGGCAAGTTGCTCGCATTCGATTTGGGTATTTTGGAAAGACATATGCGAACACGACTTTGGCTCTTTGACCGATCCGATGGCACCGGCCAAACACCTGTTTGTGGTTTGTACTGCACCAGTCGGTCTCCATCAAGATTATGTGTGCGGCGTGGGTAAGCGTCAGTCCGCGCGAGGAGGTGCCAGTTGTACCGATGTAGATTCCAACTTTGCACGGCTTACCGATACAGAAGTGGTAGCAGAGCGAGAGAATTGTTATATTAGGACATGTTGCCTGGACGAGTTGAACATGGTTATGGTGCTTGTTGCGCTGTAGGTATTAAAAATAAGCACACAGTGGATAACATCTAGTCACTGCCCGTACTGACTCACATAATCCCGGCTCTCCGTTAGGTTCAGGAATACGCCCCATGGCAATGTCCTTGGGCGACTTTAGGTACCGGGTGCTCCCGTAAGACCTTGTTCCATCCTAAGGTAACAGCATTGTCCGAGAGAAATCCCATAAGGAGCAAGCCGGACCAAGAGTTGGCCACTGATACCACCAAATCCGCATTCTATGAGAGTAGTCACTGTCTCAAGAGCAATATTTACAATTTGCTCGTCATTGATTCTGCCCCTCCAGTAGCCGACAGAAACCACAACCACAAATGTAGCAGGAAGTCAATTTCTCGAAGGCTAATATCCATCGATCTCTAGAGAAGCGCTCATTTGGTGAGGATTACTCGCAGACCATGTGCTCTCTGGTGGTTGGGCGGCCAAGATATGCTCTTCTTATAGGGCAAGACAAGGTACTAGCTCGACGGAACATACCGGGTTATTCCATTGTCGATGCTGTATCTCGGAATCTTCCACCTGGTGAGGGTAATGCTCTCGAGCGAGAGGTGGGATTTTCCTGGCTGTTCCTCAAGCCTATCTTTGCCACCGGACAACTGTCACTCAGTCCCAACGTCCGGGTTTACTGTGTTCACCGCAGCCTATATGCGTCCCGCTCTCTTTGCAGCCGGAGATACTTCGTTTCCCTCCTCGTCTGACTGCGAGGGTTTTTGTCCGAATTCTCGTCATCCAACGCTGAATAGTTTGTCCAGGACGTTATGTCTGGTATGAACTGCTCTGTGTTGACGACTGCTTATCTGATGTTTCATCCGATGTCTTTGCTAACCTCATCGGGTTTCCCGCTTAGTAGAAGCGAACTTTGATACCGACCAGATCGTCTGGATTGTTTGACTTTAAGACAGTGTCCTTATTGTGATAGAGTTGTTGATGGCTACCGGTTTGATTTGCCTAATTTTGATGTTTTATAGGCTCTCAGCTGAGGATCTGTGATCTCTTGAAGCAACTCATCTGTTCGCGCCGTTGATACACTTAGGCGCCGGAGATCTTCGGGGACCGTTGGCTTGTCTGAGATGGTTAAGCCACTTCGAAATGGCCTCTTCTAATATCTCTTCCATGTTGAGGTATATAATTTATAGCCGTTGCTAACTGTGAGCTCTCCTATCGCGCAGGCATTGTTGTGTCTCTCTCAGCAGTTCTATGTCATCTGAATCCAAGGAATAATTATATCCAGGACGTGGAATTGTGAAAGCGTACATCTAGTCTCGGATGATGCTTGTTAGATGTTTTGGACGCTGTAGCCAATGTCTTGCCAGGCTTGGAACCTGTACAGGGTAGTCCAGAGTGTCTTCCAGAAAGGCCTTTCATCTCTCGGATGATGACATGTGCCTTCTAGGGTTGGGGTTTGCATCAAACAATTATCTGAGATAGTTTGAAACGCGCCTGTGGTTGTATATAAATATATATTCACGCCGGGAAGTATCTGACCAGGGTATCCCATCATCCAGCAGGTTCATGCTGTTATCGAATGGGAATTCAAACGAGTGGCATGTTTGGAGGCGATGCTGATTTACCATTACCATCAAAACCGGAATTCAGATGGAAGGAAACCTAGGTAAAGGACTCAGACATGCCAGACAAGCTTCCGAAATTGTTGGATTCCGTCCGAGAAAGCCTTCACATAAGATAAATGGCCACATGTCTATTTCCGGCCAGTAAGCTGGACGAATGAAGGGGACGAAAGTGTCTTCCCCTTATATCCCAGACAAATGCTATGAGAGTCGTCTGGCCGTGTAAATATTGGTATTGAGATCTTTAGTAGCTAAGACTAAGCCTTTTCTGTCGAGATGACTTTTCTGTATGATAGTGGCTGTGCATCTTCATCAGGTCCCCCTTTAGGGTCCTGTATCCAGCCTCATTAAATCACGTCCCAGATTCGGTCTAGGAATGATCCCCTTTCATGAGGATGTGCTTAGCAGTGATATGTCCACTATCCCAGTCACAACCACAGATCAAGCTCTTCATCGGTTTCAGGAGCTAGGATATATACTATATTATACGATATCTCATTAGTGATTGCACCAATAAGTTTGTAGCTTTTTATACACTTGGAATACATACCAGAGTAAGTTTGTTGTATTCCATATGAACATGCTCGACATGGTAGATATGATATGTTGATTCCTCCACCTCTTCTTCATCCTAAATATGCCCTGTGGGCCTGGTGGACCTTTGGCTATCTCTCTTCTGGTACAGGCGAGATTCAACTTGGTCATGGGTGATGAGCGAGTAGAAACCAGTTCTTTGGCAATATCGAGGTTATACCCTCGAAGAAATTGGTGCCCAAGACCTTTCATGCGTAGGATGGTATGCCGTATATATTTATTTCTCTGGCTTGGTTTGTGAATTTAGGGCAAGCCCGCTCGACAGGCATTCTTCGGCTGCCTGTCTTCGTAGTCTCTAGGCAGGTGGATCGCGTGATCGATTCAGGAAGACTATAATGGAGTGTTGATGGACCATGTATAGACTATGAGTATATAGAGTCAACAAATTAGGGTTATAGGGTTATAGGTTGAATAGTCCGTTCTGTGGTTGAGGATATCATATATAGAGGCCAAGTCATGATGGAGATGGAGAAGAGGAGAAAGCAGTGGGAGGAAATGGGGATTTTTATACACCTACTTGGCTGGAATATTCAATATTAAAAAGCAATTGAAGCAGTAAATAATCGAGGATTCATCATCCCCATTGATAGACGGATGGATGAATGCCCTAAGAGTCAGGCATTCAACTCCCGAACAGTGTGACTACGGAAGGAATCGGATTCACCATTACATAGTTACATACACATGCAGCACGGACAGCACAGACAACAAATCAAAAGTTAATCCTGCTAATAGCCACATCTCTTCATCATCAACCCCATATTAAGCAAATAGTTCATCTGAACCAGACACCATGAACAGCACCCCAGATTCGAACCAGGCCAACCAGCGAACCATCCCCGGCACTTAAACCTTCCCGAACCGAGTCACCCCCAAACCTACGCAGCCCCCACGATGGCACAATTAACTTTTTCCTCTCACTTCCACCCAATCAATATGAATAATGACCCATCAAGCATCATGACCAACCTGCGCCCCTCGAAGTATATCAGAGTTGGGGGAGGATGCATTAGTCCGCTTGGCGATCTTCCAACTAACATTCCGGGATGTGGGGAGAGCAAGAGCCGGCGTGTGAATCGTGATGCTTTGTTAGTGTGGATTGCTGATTGGCCCGGGGCAGCACGGCAAGGATTAGCGAGGCAACTGATAGGCAAAAACGGGGATCCACTCCATGTTTGGGTC